ATATTTCTTTAAAAAATCTCTACATTTACTATTTGAAGATTTTATATATAATTTATATATAAATCTTGTATAATCTGTGTCACATAGCTATCCAGATGACTGGTGAATTATCTATTAAATAAATTATATTATAATATATTAAATTTAAATCATTTACTTCTTCTTGAGAATCGAGATGATCTTGATAATTTTTTGTAATAATATTATGTTTGTCACGAAGATGCTGTGTCAAATTTCCTGTACTACCACCTGACTTAGTATATAGATAAGGTTTATTCTTAGTTTCTTCAAATTCTTTGATACAAATTTTGCAATATCTAATGTTCTTATCAATTTTATCACTTTTAAAAAACTTATATGTATAGTTAGCATTGCTTCTTGAGGAAGGTTTTTTGAGAATAAGTTTAATGTCACATTATTGGGTGTTTTTCTTTTTTTCGGCTACTTTTAGGCTCAAAATTCTCATAAGAAGTAGAGCTTAGGCTAGAAGTTTCTTGTAGTATCAAAGGGATAGAGCTAAGACCAGAGGTTTCTTGTGGTGTTAGAGGTGTAGAACTAAAACTAAAGGTTTCTTGTAGTGTCAAAGAGATGTCTTCTTCTTCTGAGAATGATGGTGAGGAAGAATGTTTATAAGAAGATATTTTTTCCTAACGCTAAAAAAGAAAAAAAAGATCATCATATACACTTTTCTTGTGTAACCTTATAATAGTGTATCTTGTAATTAAGTAATGATTGAAACAATACTTTTTGATTATTATAAATTAGTTATACTTTATATTTTGCATAATAGCTAAATAGAGCTAATAAATATAAATAGGGGTTATAAAATACTGGTTAGTTAGTTTTTTAGTCAGTTGGGAAGTTTGTAGGTTGGTTAGTCAGTTAGTTACTTTTAGTGGCTTGTGTGAAATAATAAATTGTTAGTTTGCTATTATTAATGCTTACGTATAACCTAAGAGTACAGATATAAAGTCGTAACAATACACAACATACTTTAGCATTTTATAAAATATTGTATTACATAAAATTTTTTCTTACCTTTTTTTAAACTATTGAATCTATCATACGTAACAATTTTTTACATCTGTATTATGTACACTATTAAATTACTATATCATATATATCTAGATACAATTTTGTATCCAAATTTAAATTTATATTTGGATTCAAATTTATATTCGAATTTAATTTTATATCCAGATTTTAATTTATATCTGAACTTAATTTTATATCTAAATTAAATTATATTTGGATTGATATTTTCTAAAAATTAAATCTGGATTTATTTAAAATTCGGATTAATTTAGATTTAATTATCAATCCAGATTGAGGTACTAACTCTAGCAGCTACTGTAACTATACTGATACTATTGCAGATTTCACAAACTTTAGAAAAGGTGTTAATATCTTTGCTCCAGGTCACAATTTAAAATTGCATTAAAGTGAAATTGTGAAGTTGATTCTTTATTTAAATATTCAAATTTAATTATACTGTACATAGTTTTTTTTTTTGAAAAAAATTATTAATCTGATATATTTTCATATTTAAAAATATCAATGATTTTAAATAGAGGCCCAATTTCACAAATCTGCTATAATGAACAATAAATACTATAATATATACAATAATTAATTATTATTTTATTTTATTTTATAACTAGGTACCGGTATTACTGCAGCTAGAAATAAGTCTACTACTGATTTAATAATATTTAATGGAACCAATCAAGCATCCCTCATAGTTTGTGATTATAAATATTTTATTAGCTGAATTTTTTACATAAATCAACATTCATTCTAAGCTTTCAATTAAATAGTTGATGGAACAATAGCTTTGATTAATACATCTAGTGGAAATAGATCTGATAAAATAAAGGAATTACTTGACAATTTATCGACAAAAAATGTAGTAAAAGGTCAAATTTATAGTTTTCAAAATAGATTTTTACATGTTCCAAAGCCTTAATCCTTTTATCAAAAAGATTTTGATAATTGCTCATTTATTTTTAATATTACTCATTTCTATTTTCTTAAATAAGTTTTATAAGAAACTTTTTAATATTATATACAGTATGAGAAACCTATGAAAGATTTATTCTTAAACTGTAATTCATCTTTTTCATAACAAAAAATGTTCTTTTAATATTATTTTCATTATTTATATATTATTTTTATTTGGTTATTTATGATATTTAATTTACATATTTCTTATATTTTGTTGTCCCTCCCTATCTAATTGGCTGAAACTGAAGGAAGCAGGATAAAAGCTTTTCAACTACTTTACTGAATTTTCAAAAATGTCTGGCTCCCACTTCAACTGGGTTCTGATTTAGGTTCAAAATCTGAAAAATTGAACCTAAATTAGGTTCAATTTTTGGTTACTGAAATCTTAGTTTAAAACTTAGAGCTGACTTTTAAAATACACAATAATAGAAAAAATTTTAACTATTGATTAATTTTTTATACTATCATTAGTCATAAATTTGTTATTATATCGCAAGAAAACATATTAAATAAAATAAGTATGCCATTATATTGTGCAGATAATAAATACATATAATAAAATAAAACAACGTGTTAACTTTTAAAATACAAAAACATATACACCTGAGCAAATATCCATAGAAATAAAACTAGAAAAAATAAAATAGCTTAATAATTCAATAGCAATAGCTAGTGTATAGAAAAAATGAATCAGAAAAAAAAGATAAGTTCATCATAAATGTTAGTTGATAACTAATTGGCTAGAGCTAAGGGGAGTAAAGCAAAAGCCTTTCAAACCTCACTCTACTAAATTTTAGAAATGTCAGGCACCTGCTTCACTCTAATTCAAATTTTAGATTCAATAATCTGAATCAAACCCAAATTAGATTTAATGTTTGGGGTATGTATTATTTTAAAGACAATTATTTTATAGACATCTTAGTTTAAAGGCAATCAATTTATAAACAAGATTATTTTATAGATAATTAATTCATAGACAAAATTATTTCATAGACAGTTTATTTTGTAAACACTTATTTTATAGACAATAAAATTATAGATAATTATATAATTATCTATAATTTTATTGTCTATAAAATAAGTTTGTCTATAAAATAAGCTATCTATAAAATAATCTTGTTTATGAATTAATTATCTATAAAATAATCTTGTCTATAAATTGATTGTCTTTAAACTAAGATGTCTATAAAATGATTGTCTTTAAAGTGATACATATCTAATATTTAGATACCCGAATCTTGAGTTAAAATATAATAGTTAATTTAATAGATATATAATTAACTTTTTGGCTAGAGCTTAGAGGAGAGAAATGAAAAACTTTAAGCCTTACTCTGCTGAGTTTTAGAAATATTTGGATCCTGGTTTAACTAACTTTAATTCAAGCTTAATCTCTAAAAATTGAACCAGAATTGGGTTCAATGTTTGATACTTTGGATTAAAATACAAAGCTGACTTTTAACTATATATTGATATTAACTAATTTTTAGTTTATTTATTATTAAAAAATAAGAATTACCCTGTATCAACATTATATACCATCTTATTGTAAATAAATATATTAAATCAAATAAAATATTGTCATGTTTCTCTTTTTAATTTGGTTAAATGAAAATGAGGAGACTTAAATATTCAAACAAACTGATATGAGGAATAAAGTTAGAAGAAAATGAAGAAGTTTAATAACTAAAAAACAGTTTAGTAAATAAAGCAAATAGGTACAGTTGTTAATATTATATATAAATTAGGAATAATGCAACTTTCATTACCTATAGCAATTCTGATTAAAATAAATAATTATACCAAGTAACACCAATTTGACCTATTAAATATATTGTATTACAATTCATATGATTAATACTAATAAATCTTGAAAATAAAGAATTTGAACATTTGTACATATATCAAGTGTTTGTACATTTTTGTTAACTTTTTAATAATGTTTTTTTTTTGACAAGTTACAAATATTAGAGCCAAATATATGTTTACAATAAAGAATAATAGAACAAAATTTTTTTTAATAAATTTATTAAAAATAGAGTCTGATAAGCAATATGCTATATAGCAATTTAGAAAATTTAAATACTATTTTAAATTTAATTCCAAAGTTTAAGACCTAATAACTAGAGCTTCAGTCTACAAAATATTACATTTTTCTAGTAAAATACTAAAATACATTCAAAAATATCTTTTAATTTAATAAGGCATTTCACTGCCCTGTTTTAATTATATACTAAAAGTAATATATAAAAGACTTGAGCACTTTACATTCTATCAATTTTAAAGTTATTAAGAGAAAAATTTTAAAGAGTATGTGCATTTTACATGTATAATAAGCAATTGAGTATAATTGTTGAATGGGAGAGTGAGTTGAATGATATAGACAATAGGCCAATTTAATTCTAATAGTGTATATTGAGAAGAATGATTTTAGATGATAATTTAGAACTGGTTTATATAAAAACAATCTAGAATTAACACTACAGCACTTTCATCATAATTTAATATATGAAGAACTATGTAGTAATGGATATAGTAATTTTATTAAGTACAGGGATTGTTCTATATAATTTTATTTTAAATTTTGATAACTATCTCCAAAAAATTCTCTAATATGTAATGTGCCAGCCAATCAGATTGCTAGATTAGCACATGATCAACAATAGATCCTTTTTAAATTTTAATTTTTTTAAAAACTTTTGGTAATTGTCTCTCAACAACTACTAGGTCAAATCAATAAACATTTTTTATTTTAATTCTATAAACAAGTAGAAAAAAACTATTATAATTGATCTGGTAGAAGTTGAGAAAATTTTATATAAATTTTTAAAAAATATTAAACATAGAAAACAAAGCTAAAATCATATTTTTTAAACTTCAAACAACAATTTCTCAATAACTACCAGACAAAATTTAATAAATTTTTTTATTTTAATTTTGCAATGTTGTAGAATTAAAATAAAAAAAAATCATTGAATTTTATTAGAAGATTGTAAAGATATCTTTATTTAAAATTTAAAAATCTTTTCCACAGCTTGATTTTCTAAACTATAAACCATTTAATAAAATTTGATGAAAATTTTTTATATTTTGATTCTATTGATTTGTAGAAAAAAAACTCATCAAATTTCATTAAGTGGTTGTTAAGATATTTTCGTTTAAAGAAACATCAAGCTGCAGCAAATGTTTTTTTTTAAGATATCTTGACAACCATCTAATAGAACTCAATAAATTTTTATTTTATTTACAACATTGTAGATTAAAATAAAAAATTTTTATCAAGTTTGGTTTGATAGTTATTGAAAAATCAGTGTTTAAAGTTAAGACCACATATAGTTGATTTTTCATACAATTTTTGAATGTGTGCCAGGTTTGTAGTGCAGACAAAATTCTTTAAAGCTCATAAATATTAGGGTTAGCATCTGTATTAAGGTTGGTTAATAATGAAATATATTGTAAAATCATAAAAGAGAAACTTTTTGCTAGTGCACTAAAGATATTTCTTATGTGTATTTTTGCATAATAAGCGAATTTTGATAAAACGAATGTTTGTTTTGAATTTTCTCGATCATGTTACATTATACCTAATCTTGGGATCTGATTCGTAGCTCAAGACAACTATGCTACAAACCTGGTACATATTCAAGAATTGCATTTTTCATTTGGCATTATATGGATTTCAAAACTCTCAGTTGATGGTTGGATTTTTTTTATTTTTTTATCCACAGTAAATTAATAGACTCATGTTCATATCCATGGCTACGCAAAGTTAATTTTTTACTTTGTATAATATGAAATCAGAAAATTGGGTTAGCAGTCAAATTTTTTCTTTCTGTCCTATCAGATAATTTTGGGAAAATAAGGTCTTTATCAGGTGATACCAGGTTAATATATGAGAAAAATTAAATACCAAAAATAGAATAATTGGCTCAATTGAGACCTAAAAAAAAATTGAAAAATTGAAAAAAATGGATCAGTAGGTAATGCAGAATGAAAAATTCACTTTGCATGGCCTAAAATATTTTTTTTAAAAAAATTGTAATTTATATTCGAATTTAAATTGATCTTTCTCAATAACTACCAGACCAAATTTTAATGAATTTTTTTTTATTAATTCTACAATGATGTAGAATTAAAAGAAAAAAAAATTAATGAATTCTATTAGATGGTTGTCAAGATTAAGGATGGGTCCAGTTATAGTCAGTTATAACTGTTTAGTCACGGTTATTAACTGTAACCAATACTGACCGGTCAGAGCAGCTTAGCTGACTAGTTGACCGGTACTATATTCTTAATGACCTGTTATAAAAATAATGAATACTTTAATTATTGTTCAAATAGACATGAAAATATATCAGCAATATTATCTGATCATCTAATCGATGGAACTATAATTCTGGTCAAAATTGCAGGTCATTGAATTTTTCTAGATCTGGTTAAATAATCTGCAAATTTGACTAGAATTATAAATGATGGGTTTTCTATTGATATTACACAAGAACCTTCTTTTCATTAATCTTCATCTGTATATCAATTGAATTTAGTTAATAAAATATGAATTTGACCAGATGGTTATCGAGATACCTTCGATCAAAGTTAGAAAAAAATTTGCTGCGGCTATTATTTTGATAGACGTTTATATATTTTTTTAAAACATTGATCGAAGGTATCTCACCAACCACCTGACAAAATCCGATGAACTTTTTTTTATTTAATTTTACAGACTCGTAGAATTTTAATAAAAAAAAAATTTATTGAATTTGGTCAGGTGTCGAGATACCTACGATCAAGGTTTTTTAAAAAAATATAAATGTCTCAAAATAATTGACGAGGCAAAATTTTCTCTAATTTTAATTAAAGGTATCTTGATAACCATCTGATCAAATTTGATTAATTTTTTTATTTGAATTTTGCAGACCAGTAGAATTCTAATAAAAAAAATTAATCGAATTTGGTCAGGTCATT